GACAGATGAAATGGTAAGCACTGCATTTAGGTCCAGGAGAATGGCTCCTTAAATTTATAGAAAATGCTTTGATTTGAATTTAAAAATTATTTGGATGCACACTGCATCTGGAAGTATGCACCCGTACCCTACAAATGCTAAAACAATGTCTTTTGCTTACGGTCAGGCTTTGAAGTGCAAGCCTGAAAAAATTTCATTAAGAAAATGATGATTAGCCATTCTCAGGGCAATTGCTGTCTCTGTGATCCTGATATCTATTTCAGAGAAAAGGCAATCCTTCTGGAGAAAAAAAAAGAAAAAAAAAAGGCTTTGAAGTAGTTGAGCATTCTTTCAGGTAATTTAGATAACTCAGATATTTGAAATATAGGAAAAAATTCATCACCTAGAAAACACTAAAACCCTAAGCAATGTAGCTCTATAGATTTAATACTGCACAACAATAGCAGTGCAAGTAAGCAGGGAATAGTTCTAAGTCCTTCTATTTGAAATAAATATGTCCGTCAAAAAATAAACTGAAGGCAGATTAATGGAATAAAAGGTCCCTGTGGAAATTATACATCTTCAGGAATTCAATTCCTTTGTCTACAGAAACCAATCTCCTTTACAAATGGAGGGGACCAGCAGAAGGAGAACAACTGGTATTCTTGTTTGGTGTACACTTGCAAAGATGAATAAGAACTTTGCAGATGGATTAAAGAATAAACAAAAGTATCAGTGAAGTCTAACCAAAGTAATTTTCTCAGTTAGCCCTTTATGAAAGAGTCAGAAATACCTATGTTAAAAAGAGAACAATATTGCCAACATGGATAGGATGATTTTATACCATCCAAGACATAGAAGGAAAAATTTTACTAAAAGTTTCAAGCAACATTTTTCAGAAACAGACATCTGATGAATAAAAATCAAAGACAAAACATAAAAATTGAGAAGAACTGAGATGTACATCCATTTTCAATGCTATAAAATAAAGCTCTGGAGCTTGCACTCATGTGCAATGCAAAGTCTAAGAAACAATGCTAATGGGCCTTTTGACCAAAACCACTATGAAATACGTCCAAATTTAAAAAGTTAGAACACACCCAAGTGTTATTCATCGTATTATGCAAACATCTAAAATGCAAAATTTGGCTCTGCAAGTTGGACAAGGCACGTGGCTTGACAGCCATGTCTCTGGGTGCTGCTGGTCCTGTCGGCTGGCAAACCATTTGCCCATGCAGGTGAGGCACCACATTGGACGACAGTAGCACTGCTGACATTCCCCTTCATTTGGCTCTTGACAGTTCTTAATGAGCTTGATGTTTGCAATAGTCTGCATGCATCCTATGCATGGTTCCAGCTCCTAAAAGAGAAAAATGCCACAACATTGAACTGCAAAGAATGGCTTCTGTTATTGCTCTCTAAAAGGCTTTTGGAAAACAATCTGCACAGAAGCATAACAGGAATCTGAGAACGTCAAGGCAGAACTGCCTCACTTCCTCCAGTCAGGTTCACCAAAGACAAAAGAATCATAGGATCATGAAGATTGGAAAAGTCTTCTGAGATCATCTAGTCCAGCTATCAGTCCATCCCCACATGCCCCCTAACCGTGTCCTCAGTGCCACATACAAATTTTTCTTGAACATCTCCAGGGATGGTGACTCCACCACCTCCTCATGCAGTCTGTTCCAGCATCTGACTATTCCTGAGAAAAATTATTCCTCATATCCAACCTGAACCTCCTCTGGCGCAATGTAAAGCCATTACCTCTCATCCTATTGCTGTCACCTGGGAGAAGAGGCTGACCCCCATCTAATTACAATCTCCTTTCATGGAGTTACAGAGAGCAACAAGGTCTCCCCTGAGCCTCCTCTTCTCCAGAAGGAAAAATCCCAGTTCCCTCAGTTGATCCTTGTAAGAACTGCAATATTAATCAGGTCCCCAATAATATTACTGAAGGAAGGATTTCATGGCCTTACTAACAATTAAAGCAAGTCCCAGTTAAGAATTATTAATTTATTACAGGAGAAGATCCAGCAAAACTGGGCTGTCTAGAAAAGCAAGCTCTTTAAAGCCCAGGAACAGCAGCTGTTACTCCATAAACTCTCTGGAAATGCAACATCACCATGTCCAAATGTTTTAAAGTTTTATAGAAGTAACTTCTGCTCTGCTATTTCTCATGTCTCAAAAATATGATGTTCACAATACAGTTCATTTTCTAGAGAAGAAACAGAAGCAGCAGCTCGATCTGCATTTATTACATGTTTACTGAAATGGAAAGTGAACTCAAAGTAAACAAAGTTACCAATTACAATAATCGCAGGCTCAGCTATATTGTAAAATAAATGATTACAGTTTCACATGGATAGAAAGTCTCACCTGAGTGCTTGGAACGGAATACGTCTGGTTCATTTCCACCAGAGACGTAAAAGTTTCTAGAAATAAATCACTAAGGCTTTGATGGATCACAACATTAGCTGCATTGCTGATGGGAGCACGTAGCTTCTCTCGGAGCTCCCCATACTCTGTGGAGTTCAGCCTTGAAAAAGATGGAATAAAATGTTTCCTCAATTATCCATTCAAATACCTTGATAGTACTTAGCAGAGGTTAAACACAGAAAAGTGAGTACACAGAAAAACCAACTGTTCTTCTGGGCTTGTTTTGTCTGGTTTCTTTTTTGTTTGTATTTTTTCCCTGATATCTCTTGGAACATGCAGTCCTCCCGCCTGGATCCCAGCCTGCACATATAAGCAAGTTCAGGCTTTGTGTCCAGTCAGTCAATTCAATAGCATGAACAAAAGTATATATATCATGAATTATCTATAAAATACTGCATGCACAGTTTCTGTCCACCTTTTCAATGCCTGTTTCCTTATATCATAAGTTAATTATAGTAATATATATAGTTAACCATAGCGTATTAACCCAAGGACAGAAATTAGAGTTATTGTATGATTGTATTATATGATGAGGCATGTATCATGTATTGATATGCATTCTGATATGTATTCTGATACATGTAAGAATCAAGAGAAAATATTAATTTCTGATTCTCTGATATATTTATAGATTAAAACTGGAATTTCACAAAGGCTGCAAATGGCTGCTAAATGTGACATGCTCTCATTTCAGGTAGCAACAGGTCATGCTTCGCACTAGCTTGCTTCTAGTAAAAGAAGTCTCCCCGAGTTCCACAGACCTCACATGGCACATGAGACCTTGTACAGATCCTGCAGTGACACACTACTGTTGTTACCCTTCAAAACACTACACTCTGAACTCCCCAGCATGGTGTTTCTACTCATTAAGCAGCTTTTATGGAGGAGCCCTGGGGACATCGCCCCGAAATACCTCAGTCTTTCTGCCCCAACTGAGTTCCTGCAGCACAGCACAACGCAATGCTCATCTTTAATTCCTGCTGGTCTCCATTGTTTTAACTGCTGAAGGATAATAGAGTTTGCTGACTGTGAAAATAACACAGACCTTTGTACCCAGATAAAGAACTCTCATTGAGCACATAGGGAAACGTGGCCTGCCTACACAGAAGCATTTTTCTTTCAGAAACATCCCTACTTCTGATTCTGGAAATACACAATAGTACCAAATTCTTAAAAAGTGAATTTCTTAAATACTGTATGACTGCATTCCAGAATACTTGCTACTTTTGATGTATCTTATAAGAACTTCTAATAACTCTTCTTGATGCTGTTCTGGTTAACCACAAAATTTTGGGGTTTGGATTTCTTTTCCCTAAAACAAACTGTCAAGGATCTCATGCTTTTCCCAGTATGATGGGATGCAATTTTATCACTTAGAGAAGAAGATGATTAGTTGTTTAATATTTATTTGATCACCACTCTCACAGGTCTATAAAAGTCTCTACTTAGGATTCTGTAATGCTTACTTTAACCCCTCAGTCTGAGCATATTATCCAATTTCTGACACCTCATCTCTGTGCCTTCCTCATGCCTGCCAGGAGCCCTCTGTTCACCTACAAGCCTGCCTGCTTTTCATTACCTGATAAACAAATGCTGCTGACGTTTACAACAACAGACACTCAAACACCTTTTCAAACATGTAACTGCATGAGCATAAACTCCCTTTCATGACACAAGAACAAGGCAGATTTTAGCACCATACTGATCAGCATTGAGGGTTTCTGCAGAACTTGTACTTTTGCTCAGTTACATAGGAAGACTGCTAAAAAAATAGCTGAAGCCCTTGGAAAACAAGGCCTAATTGTTCACAGCACATTTACTATGATTTACTGCTATAACAACTCATCAATCAGAAATGGGTTGGAATTACTTCCTAGCTTTAAGGGCAGCTGATTTGCAGTAGCTCATTGAGAATTCTTTTGAGCAATGACAAAATCAGGAGCCTTTTGGAGAGGGAGGGGTAAAAATATGAGTGAACAACAGCCAAGTTTAGAAATATCACTATTTCTTCACCACCAAATTTGTGAGACCAAAGACTTGAAGATTCTCTCTCTTTCTTATTCTCCATTGCTTCTTATTGCTCTCTTCCAGTATCTACTTCTCACTGAAGTTTTTCCAGCTACTTCTTTCTGCATTCAGCACAACCCTTTTCCTAAGAGAGGACCAAACAGGGCAGTCCTTCTGTTTCTGTTTAACCCTGTGCATTTTTTATTGTGGGCACATGAATCTTTCTAAACCTTTTTTTACTGCACTGTGTGGTAGAACTGTGCATACAGCATCTCTGAGCACTGGGGAGACAGAAGTGAGACTCAAGGAGTTTTCAGATTTGCCCCAAAAACACTTCACGAACACCATTATATATCATATATATGTCATAACTGCAAAGTGTTATTTTGTTTTACCGGATATCAAATGCCTTCACATAGGGATTAACACTGGCAACACGGATGGTGAGGAACTGCACGGGCATGTTTGAGTCCGGTGTGAGTTCGTGCTGTCTGGAGTCTGTCACAGTCAAATGAATGTCCTGCTGCTGAGCGACGTGTAGGCAGTAGGTGGTTACCTTGATCACCCACGTGTCTGTAACAATCACCCTCGCTCCTGGGGCTCCGGTGGCAAATTTGTCAATTCTCCTAAATTCTGTATTGATGGAAGAAGCCACTGCCCTCCAACCTGACTGTGGCAGAGCATAAACAGCGAGCGTCCGGGCCAACGGGTGGTTATTCCAACCCTTCCGTGACCAGTAATATGCCAGGGTGCTGCTGACTGCTGGAAGGAGAACAGCAAAGAAGAAGAAAGTTTTCCATTCTTTTGAGGCCAGGTAGAAAAAACAAAGGTGTTTCTCAGGTGCAGCGAAGCACATACCAAGGTAATAACCTGCAGGAAAAAGGAAGCAATTAAGTGCAATGGATTTAACCTTTAGAGGATAAGAAGTGTGAGGAGCAGCCAAGGTCCCTCAGTTTGTTCAGCCCAGAGCAGAGGAGCTGAGGGGAGGCCTCACGGCAGCTACAGCTCTTCACAGGGAGCAGAGGGGCAGCGCTGAGCTCTGCTCTGTGTGACAACAACAGGGCCCGAGGGAATGGCGAGGAGCTGTGTCAGGGGAGGGGCAGCTGGAGGTTAGGGACAGGGTCTGCACCAGAGGGTGGTGGGCATGGAACGGGCTGCACAGGGTAGCGGGCACAGCCTTGAGCTGCTGGAGTTCAAGGAGTGTTTGGACATTGCTCTCAGCCATATGTTCTGATTTGTGTGGATGGTGGGACTGGATGGTCTTAGTGGCCTTTCCAATCTAAATAATCCTATGATTTTGGAGTGGTTTCATGTGGAGTCAAGAGTGGGATACAAACCTTATGAGTCCAACTTGCAATACTCTATGATTCTCTAATTTTAAGTACACTGATCAATGCAGACCCCTGGTTAACCAATCCAGCGTGCTCACTGATGTGCACCTGGACAATTCTTAGCCAGGACAAGAGTACATTCAGTGCTTCATACCCGCCACTTATTTCTACCTGAACTACATAGCCGAAGGAAGCTGATCTGAACTTCCAAGTTAAGTAAAACATTATTCCTTTGCGACTCCGCTTTGCTGGCGACAAAGCTAAGCGTGTATACCACAAAGATAGGTCACAGCAGCGCACCGTGCCCGCTGCCCGCACCGAGGCAGGAAGGCAGCCCACCCCCCGGCCCGCCGCTCACCGAGGGGCAGCAGGGAGTGCGCCAGCAGCGTGCCGGTGCTGCGCCGCAGGTGGTACTGCACGAAGGCCGCGTCCTCGCTGCCCAGCCAGGCGGCCAGCAAGCTCTGCACCGTCAGCCCGGCCGAGCGCACCTCGTCGGGCGGGAAGACGAAGCAGACGGCGAACACCACGTAAGCCAAGGTGAAGGTCACCGCCGGACTCTCCATCCTGCGCCGCGGACCCCGCTCCCGCCGCCCAGCCGCCCGCCCACGGGGCCACGGCCCGGCGCGGCGCGGCGCCGCGCGGCTCCCTGGGAGCGGTAGTTCCGCCCCCCCCCCCCGCCGGCACTCCGCCCCTGCGCCGGGTGTAAAGCTAAACGGGAACGGGAGCTTCCGCTTCTGCCGCCTTCTGCAGGGTTGAGCCGTTCCCTGCCTCCTGGTGCCTCGGAAACGCGTAACTTCGTGCTTAACGGCTCTGGTAGGTGAAGTTAATTGGAGTTCTGAGCTTCAGAACTGTGAAAGTAACATCCTTCTGAAGTAAGTCAGTGATGTTTTGCTTGAGGCTCTAAAGTAAAAACAACGCTTTTCTCTGGGTTTCTTGGTGTATTTTATTATATAATATTTTCTTTAGAGAATGATCAGGGACTTGAGTCCTTATAGGGTGAGAAATTTTACACAGAAAGCCCATCTAGTCCAATTCCCCTGCAATGAGCAGGGACACCTGGAGCTCCATCAGGTGCTCAGAGCCCCTCCAGCCTGACCTCGAGTGTCTGCAAGGATGGGAGCATCCATCACCTCTCTGTGCAACCTGTGCCAGTGCCTCACCACTCCTATTGCAAAGAACTTCTTCCTTACATCCAGTCAAAATCTCCCCTCTTTTTTTTTTGTGGCTCAAGGGATATTTGACCTGTTTTAATTTGTGGAATGAAGATCAATAATAAAAATCAGGTTGTGAAGCTGCAAGTTTTCTTTCTTTATCATTGTTTTTTATTATTACTATTATTTATTCAGAAGATGGTTGAATCAGAATAGCTGAAATGCTGTGGACAATGGGGCTACAGGTGGCTGGATGATCTCTGGTTCTTATTGACATTGAAATAACAGGATTGTCATCATAGAATCATATCATAGAATGGCTTGGGTTGGAAAGGAATCTCAAAGATCATCTAGTTTCAAGTCCCTACTATGGGCAGGGTCACCAACCACTAATTTGTCTTATAAAGAAAAGGGAAATTGCATAACAGGAGAAGCACGGCAAAAAAGGACTGGTGCAACTGAGAGGGAACTAAAAAGGAAATGCAGCCTCCACAGTGTGAAGTCTTATGCTGGCAGGTTGCAGTGTTACTGATGTGGACAGAGGTTGGGAATTCAGTTATCTAGTGATTTTTTGAGTTAGGAGTGTTATATCAATAAAATTACACTTGGATTGCAGGCATCATATTTCATTCTCAAGGATGCCATTGTTACCAAGTTTATTGTTTTATCAGTCATGTTATTGTTGCTAAGAACTGCAAGAACTGTTATAATTGGTGGAATGAAAATTAATAATAAAAATCAGGTTTTGAAGCAGTAAGCTTTTGTTCTGTGTTATTCTAAGCAGAATAGTAGACATATTGTAAAGATACTTGGGGCTAGAGGGGACTGAAGGTGTTTGGAGGAAGGGAAGAGGCAAAATGCTGTCATGTGGGACAGCTGTGCAAAAGGCCTGAAGATGATGGATCACAGTCACAAGGATTTCTTAACCAGCATAGATCTCTGAACAGAACCCAAGCTTAAAAGCAGATCTAAAGGTTTTCCAACTTAGGAGCTGATGCTGCATTAACTTTTATATTGCCAAGTTTCATTTTTTTCAAAGGGCCCTGATGGTAAAAGCCTAATGAAATACCGAATGGTATTTCATGACCTTGATTTGAAGAGCTAGGCCACAGTATATTCTGTAATGTGTTTTTAGAAATAGCTGATTTGAAAAAGTAGATACACCATATATTTTAGTAGCAAATTTTTCAACAACTGTATTTCTAATTGTTGTATTACATGATTAGCTCCTACTTGCAAAACTGCAAGGGCTTTTAGATGTTGCAAATACTTGCTGCAAATGGATGTAGCATTATAGACTAGAAAGCATGTGGTAACTCTGTTCTGTTTTAACAAAAGACTTTCAGCAAAAGAAATACAATAATGAAACAATATGAGTAGGCTTATCAAACATCAAAAGAAGCCAGGGCCTTCACACAAAGCTGAGTTGTCTCACTCTGGGAGTAGGCTGGGATGCAATAGGCAGATGTCAAGACACTCCCCTCTATCCTCCTTATCTTCCATCAACCCAGTATATATCATTAAAATACGTGTTCCCAAACTTATCTCTATCCAAGGACGAGCAGATGTCCAGAAATAATGGCCAAGTGCTAAGAGAGCAAATGTTATGATTTTGGTACCTATAAATTACTTATAATAGGCATTCTCCTGCTGAGCATGTGTCAGTGAATAAAGTTTACATAGGAGGGTGAGGAAGTAAAAGGCTGTCAGCTGGACTGTCACTGTCATGATGCTAGAAGACCCTGACAGTAGAAGAGACCATAGAATAGCAGACTGGAAACCTCATGAATCGCTACCTGAGATAGGCGTGTATATGTTAATTAATTATCTCACTGGTGATTGATGAGCATGGATTATAAAGAAATAAAACGGACTCTGAATCATGTAATCTTTGAAGCGCTTACGGGGGAAATATCCCCACTGCTTCCCATTGCTGCTAACAAGGAATACCTGCCTTAACAGCAACAACGCTTTGCTGTGGAGTTTCTACACGTTGATTTCTTTGATTCAAACACATCGTGGGAATGAGGCAGAAGGGACGTTTGCTGACAGTGACGTCTCACAGAGCCAGTCTCACTGCAGGCACCCACAGGGAGAACGCTGGGCTGTGCCTCACTTTCTCACCCAGTTTTGCTCTGTGTGGAAAGCGGGGTAGCACTTCTGAAAAACATGCAGCCTTTGCTGCTGTTTTTCTTTTGTTGTTGTTTTTGGTTTTTTTGGTTCTTCTTGTTTTCCCCAGAACCATTCGCGCTTCCCCGCAGGCGGGTCTAAAGGAGGAGCCACTCGGCCGCCAACCCGCTCCCTCCTTCCCCCCCCCAAATCAGCCGCCACAGCACAGCTCCTTCCCATCGCGCCTCGCGCGGCAGCTCCGCTCCGTGAGATTCTATTGGCGGAAGGCCTCGAAAATCCCCGCCCTTCCGCAGGACGCTTTCCGGATTGGAGACCGCTTTCCGAATGCCGCTTTCTCATTGGTCGGCTGGAGGCGCCGTTGAAGTTTGAAATCCTGAGGCGGTTGTGGCGGAGCGGGTTGTGCTGCGGGTTTGGTTCTTGCCGGCAGGTAGGAGGGGGAGCCGCTCTGGGGATCATACTGCTTGAGTTGGGTGTATGGAGAGTTGCTGGAGGGGGATATCTCGGTCTGGGGGAAGGGTAGGCTGAGGTGGGTCCTCGGGGAGCGCCCTGTGGGCTTGGAGCTGGGAGGGGAGCTCGTGCTGAAGGGCATTGTGGGCCTGCAGCGGGCTTGGGGCTGCAGGACAAAGCTGGAGGGGTGATGTGGGGCTGAGAAGGGCCCTAGGGAAGTCTCCGTGTTTTGAGGGCAGTGTGAGGCTCTGCGGGGTTGCCGCACTATGGGGCTGAACCAGGGTAAGAATGGGGTGCAAGAGGTGTGGCACTGTGTCCATGTGGGCCTCGATCACAGAATCAGAATCATAGAATGGTTCGGGTTGGAAGGAACCTCAAAGATCGTTAATCTCCAACTCCCTCCCTCCCACCACAGGTAGGACCACCAATCTCCACATTCAGTATTAGACCAGGGCCCCAACCAACCCGGCCTTGAATGCCTCCGGGGACGGGGCCTGGTGGGCATCTTGGTTATTTGAGGTGATGAGGGGCAGCAGAGGGAACCCCAGTGAGTTTCACGGTGGGTGATGTGAGGTTGAAGGGTTCCTCACGGTCTAGGGTGGCTCAAGAGCATTGCAGGGCACCCTGGAGAATTGTGGGGATAGAGGAGAGGAGTCCATTTTTGCCTATCCTCCCTCCTTAAAACATTGTCAAGGGTGGCTGCCTCCAGTTCAAGGCCGTCTTTTGTTCCCTACCATGAACTGCAGGCAGGGGGGGCAGCAGAGCCCCCAGGGCTGCGTTTCTGTTTCTGCTTCCACCTGGCCTGTTTTTGGCAACAGGTGCTGCGACTTTTCCTTCCTGAAATGATTTGAAAGCAAGGTGTCCTCTGGAGTCACTGACTTACGAGTTGCAATTAACACATGGAATCTAGCTTGAAACATGGGGCATGCTTTTGTTCATACTAAGTTGTTCTGTGTGGAGATGGTGCTCTGTGTCTCAGATGCTGGGGAACTTGAAAAGGGCAATTCAATAGAGAAAAATATCTATTTTTTTCCTACAAATTTTGTGGCTTTCTCTAGTGTCTGAGACCATATTGGTGTTTTGACTGTTGTGCTCCAGTGACCAGTAGACAACAGTAGCTGCCAGGAAGTCCTCAATTTATCAGTGATGGTTACCTGGGATTTACTTGATGTCACTGAGCTAATGTTCATTCACAAGTCCAGAATGGAAGACTGCCACTTGTACCTATTTAAATAGTCTTCAGAGACATTAAGCAGTTTCATTCTGTGGATGGTAAGCTGGGCATGAGACAGCAATGTTGTCTTGTATCCTAGAAAGTCAACTGTATCTGGACTACAACAAAAGAAGCGTGGTGAGCAGGGTGACGGAGGTGATCCTGCTCCTCTACTCTGTGCTGGTGAGACCTCACCTGGAGTATTGTGTCCAGTTGTCCTCAGTACAGGAGAGACATAGACCTGCTGGAGTGTGCCCAGAAGAGGGCCACAAAAATGATGCAAGGGATGGAACAATTTCCCTACAAGGACAGACTGAAAAAGCTGGGCTCTGGGGAGACCTGATGGTCACCCTTCAGTATCTGAAGGGGGTCTATAAGAAAGAAGGGGGACAGACTGTATAGCAGGATCTGTTGTGATAGGATGAGGGGAAATGGTTTCAAACTGAAAGAAGGAAAACTTAAATTGCATAAAAGGATTTATTATTATTTTTTACAATAAGGGTAGTGAAGAACTAGAACAGATTGCTCAGAGAAGTGGTGGAAGCCTAGTCTCTGGAGACATTCAAGGTCAGGCTGGATGGGACTCTGAGCACCTGATTGTGCTGTATATGTCTCTGGTTGTTGCAGGGGAGTTGGACTAGATGACACTGAGTGTGTCCTTTCCAATTCAAACAGTTCTATGATTCTATGATCTTTGAGTGGCTGTAGTAGAGGGGGAACTTAGTGCCTTTTAAAAACAAAAATAAAACTTGTGTGCATTGACTTGAGTGCACTGACAAAACTGCTGTCTCTTAAATGAGTGTTCCCTGCCTATGGAGCTTGTCTTAGATGATGACTTTGCTTCTAAACAAATCGTTTAGACTGAACAATTACAATCTCTAACGATTCAGTTAATCTGTTATCTTAATCATAGTTACCAATAAAGGGATGCAAGGAAGTTCTTTGAGTTCTATAATGTAATGTACATTTATTTTTGTAAAATTACTTGTAAAATCACAGAATTGCAGAATGGCCAGGGTTGGAAGGGGGAGCTCAAGGATCATGAAGCTCCAACCCCCCTGCCACATGCAGGGCCACCAACCTCTTCATTTAATGCTAGACCAGGCTCCGCAGGGCCCCATCCAATCTGGCCTTGAACATTTCCAGGGATGGGGCATCCACAACCTCTCTGGGCAGCCTGTTCCAGCACCTCACCACTCTCTCTGTAAAGAACTTCCCCCTGATGTCCAACCTCAATCTCCCCTCCCTCAACTTAAAACCATTTCCCCTTGTCTTGCAGTTATCAATTCTTTCAAAGAGTTGATTCCCCTCCCCTCTGTAGGCTCCCTTTAGGTATTGAAATGCTGCAGTAAGGTCACCCTGCAGCCTTCTTTTCTCCAGGCTGAACAAGCCCAGCTCCCTCAGCCTGTTCTCGTAGGGGAGGTGCTCCAGTCCCCTCATCATCTTCGTGGCCCTCCTCTGGACCCTCTCCAACAGCTGCCTGTCTTTTTTGTACTGGGGGCTTCACACTTGGACACAGTACTCCAAATGGGACCTCACAAGAGCAGAGTAGAGGGGAACAATTACCTCTCTGCCCCTGTTGGCCACCCCTCTTTTGATGGAGCCCAGGATAGCATTTGCCTTCTGAGCCTCTTTATGATAATGAAAACAATCATTTGGAGTCTAATTGACTTCATGACAGAGGATGGACAAGGAAGCTAATAATCAGTTGCTTGTTCAAATCAACCATTTGAGATCATTTGGAATGGTTGTCCCCATTGCAGAAAGCCAACTTTCCTATCCGATTCCCTTGCCTAAGTTCTGGATGTACCCCTCCATTCTCCTGAAAGAAACTGATTTGCTGGTGGCTTGTCAGATAAGTGCTTCTCAGGAGTTGTCCATGGTGGGCATTGGTTATGCCTGGATCTTGCTTAAGATGCCTTCTATGTTCTGGTCCTTTTTTGCTTTTAGTTTGTTTTTAGCAGTTACATCATGGAGTATTGTTTCTTTGATGCTTTAAAAGAGAGGTGATCCTGATGGGAATAAAAAATAGACAGAGTTCATGTGTGTAAAATTTGCTTGCTTGCCTGGGCCACTTGTAATGTTCTTTGTCTATTCCTAACTTATTTTGTAAGCTTTAGTTTGAAGTCCTTCATGCGTAGACTTATCTAATTTTACTAGTACTTTGCAGTCTAGTAAAGCTTCTGTGCATCTCTAATGTAAGAGCAGTATTTAAGGATTACCTACTTTTATTATTTTTTTCCCCACCAGGTTTGCATACTAGTAATGTCTATACAACAAAGGATTCTTAAGTACCAGGTGCTTCAAAAAAGCAGCATATGTTCAGACAGTGCGAGAAAAAGCTGAACTAATCTTATTCAAAACGCTGATCCTAAACACATCCTAACTATTTGCTTTTTGCTGATCAACAATGTAGAAATGACAGCCATTTCTCTATTTTATTCATGTGGTCTCACCCTATTACATCAGATGTGACTGAATGTCTCTACTGATTTTAAAGGGTTTGGAATGAAGAAATGAGCAAATAATAGAGCTACCTTTAAAGGATGGACTTAATTAGTAGGGTTGTATGTTAAGTAGAAAACATAATATCAGCAATTAACTTGCTAGACCACTAGCAAAAGCAGAGGGGCCGGTCAGGTGCTGTGTTTGGGTGCTTGAAGAGTCTTGAGATACACCTTTCCATGTGAGGATCTTGAATACTTTTAAGATTGCTTTTGAAGTGGTGTCGTTTGTGTTTGGTGGGTTGCAGGCTTTTTTTTTTTTTTTTTGCCGTCCAGTGCCAGGCTTCCAACTTCTTCAGCTATCTGAAAGTACATCTGGCTGACCACACCCTCTCATTCTTGCCCTGATGTTGTGTGTTGATATTGTAGAATGAGTCTGCAGATCTTAAATGCAGAAAATGGAGAAAACGTCAGTGATGATCTAACAGCGGAAGACTGTGGCTTTTACTTTGCACAACCGGAACCTACAGGGAGACCTTCTATTCTGCGCCTGTCCCAGAAAGAAAACTTGCCACCGAAAAGTGTGGCAAGAGCTATGAAGGTAAAATTTTGCTTTCATATTTAAGTATATTCTTCTATGATCTACAGTACTGAGTATACGTGGTATTCAGAGCTTGAAAATATTCTGGTATTCATGTCCTTCCTTTTTCCTTCCCTTGCCCTCTTGTCCCTTTCTTAAAGGTGACCTTTCAAACTCCTCTAAGAGATCCTCAGTCTCGAAAAATATTAAGTCCCACCATGACAGACAAACTTGAGTCTACTTTCACGCTTGATGATTGCAGTGAAGCCTTGCAGGATGATCTCTCTATGCCCATCAGTGCTGTGTAAGTAATGTATTCACTGCTTGTAGTATTAGCAATGTGGGACGTAATCAAGTTAATTTTCCCCCATTATAAACGTGTGTATTTACATTCTAAGGTTGTATAACAAGATGGAAGCTGCGTGAAAGAACCTAGGTCAGTGCTGACTTTGATAAGCAAATTTCTTTCAAAGCTAATTAATTACTTTTAAGAAAGCATTGTCTTGGTTGTAATATTGAATACTGAACTATGTTTCTGAGTCCCTTATTAACTGATTTCCTGGAAGTGTCTGTTATATTATGCATAAATAATTTTGTAGAAAAGAGCCATGCTAGGCATGGAATACAGAACTGCTTCATTCAGTGAGATTTTCATGGATTAAGAGAATCCTAGATTTAATTGAAAGAGAGATGAGATGTTAAGGCTTGTATGTTATGTACTATTTTATCTCTTCAGACTTTCTTCTCAGAAGCATCATTTGAATGGTTTGCTGGAGTTGACGCTTTGAGTCAATGAGTGTTAAAATTAATATGGTAGTACAGTGAATATAACATCAATTCTAAGAATAATCTATTAGCCTGGATCTCAAGGAAGCTCCTGGAATCTGTCTGGAGAAGAGCACAATTCTGCAGTGTTACAGTTGAGGGCTTTGCAACCCCTCCTTTACTAAAAATATTGCTGTAATGGCATAATGATCCTGTGGTATGACTGCTGTTTAAGTAGGTGGGCCTCAATGAATGTTTTTCTTACGATTTTTTTTTTTTCCACCCTTCCTTAAACTTATGCAAACATCTGGCATCTATAGTGCCGAGTGGCAAGAAGGCTTAGACCTAAGTTTTGTTGTTTCCAAGGAAGTATATCCGGTTCTTTCAACTACCCTGTACTCTTCCCAATGTCTTGTATTTGGGGCAGGGAGAAGGGGAAAAGATTGGAGTGCTTATGTGTTCCTTAAATGTTTACATTTGCTTCAGCTATTAATTTGTATGTGTACTCTGGTTTAGAAAAGTACCTCTAAGCCAGCCACCATAATTTTTAAGTAATATTGTGTTCGTTTCAGACATAGTGTTTAAATGAATAAATGAAAATCAAGTACGCATGGCTCAAGCATGTTAAAAAGGCATCCAATTGGCTTTAGGTGCATAAATGTGTGTCAAGACACTGCATTTACTGTGCATATTGTTTCTACTTGTAAACTGTACGGATTTGCTTGTAACAAGTAAACTGAAGGACTTAGTGTTGCTGAAGGATGGCACTTCCAACTAACAAAGTAATTAAAGTTTCTAGCTGATGTCTTGCTCTTGACTGGCATTTATTAGGTTAAGCACTGAGGGAGAATGGGAGGGGCCTTTAGTAGTTGAACAAGTCTGGGGCTGAGCTATTGCAGGGAAGAGGCTCTCAAACCGGGTGAGAAGAGCTTTGTGAACTCTATCTCCTGCTTTTGCTTTTGGGTTTATCGAAGCAGTGTTTTTACTGAGTGGCTTTTAATCGTGTTTTGCTCTATAGGAGATATGAATGGCACATAGAAATATCTACTTTGTCCAGGGACAAAACAATGGGAGGAAATCCTGTTTCAGGAAGTAATGGCTTAACTCTCTGTGGTCTGAGGCATAGCCTCAGAAGTTAAGTATAGTTTGAGGAAGTAACAAGGGCAACAGTAACTTGTAAAATATCCAGCGGTAGCAAATACCCAGACTTGTTCTTTAACCTGTTGAATCTGCTGGAGAATCTTATACTTTCTTTTTTCTTCTCCTTACTGTAGTGAACTCTTGTATGTGTCTCTTCAGCTTTGCTGTTGCATGCAGTTTAGAGTTCCTAAGTCCAGAATCTGTTTGGATATATACATGGCTGATATGATGGTGTATACTTTAAGTGGGGAAAAAAATCTTCTAGGATGACCAAACAAAATAATGGCTAGAATGGGAGAATTTGAGTCATGATTCTGTTTGGTCCTAGTCTTGTGAGTCTATCATGACTCATGGATGAATTTACTGAAAAATGTACTACTTGTTGTGCTGGTATTCAAACTGCTTGTTGTTAATAACTCATAAGCAGTGTATATTTCACATTGCTCAGTGAAGTGGAAATATCCATATGTTGTTGTGAGAACTGGCATAAGGTAATGTAGCTGTGTGCAGAACTGATAGCTTAAGAATACTGAGTGCCTTCAAGGATTGATTTTCCTGTAGTTCAACCTGTGCTGGCTTGTGATTTCAGACTATTAGGTAATAACGGAATTCTTGTTAGAGTATTCTTTTGTTGTCAGCTCTCTTATTACATTAAAAAAAAAACCAAGCAAACCATTATCTGTGAAAAGCTGCTTGTGTATGTCTTTAAATATGATGTGAATGCTATCTTTAAAAAAAAAATCTGTGTGTTTTTTTTTTTAAGCAGTGTAAGTCAACAGAAGACTGAAGCTGAAGCAAGTGATACGGAGATAAATAAACAAATGCCTGAGAAAGTCAGTGCTGCTCCTTACCCAGATGAGGAGATGCCAGTGAAGAGTCGAGGTTCCTATAGTCTTGATTTTGATAACTTAAATGACATCAATCCCTTCCAGAGTTCAACACAGCTGCAGAATTCTCCTGGAAATCTGCAAAAGTCTCCTGTAAAGGTGTCTACCAGCCCTGAGAAAAGTAGCAATTCTCTTCCACTGGATAATACAGCTTCTCCTTCAACAACAAGTACGGAGTACCCCAGTAAACAGGATAATACTTCTTCCTCTGGAAAAAAATCTGTTCTGTTGGAGTCCAATAAACCTGATCTGTTCCCAAAGCATGCTGTCACTGGCTCTCTGCAGGAGTCTCCTTCCACACAAGTAAGCCAAATCAATAAGTCTGGCAATTTGGATCTTATTAGTTCTGATGTGACCTGTTCTTCCAAAACTGGGGAATCAAAACTTCAAAATGTTCCAGTACCAGAAAAAGCTTCAACAGAAGAGTTGAAGCCTTTAGAAGAGCCTGCTATCTCCAAAGGGGAACCTGCAGAAAAGCCTGGTGTCACCAAGGCTGGACCAGTAAAACTGGAATTTGACTTTGATAACACCAGTGTTAGAAAACCACCTCCTAAGAAACTAGGTAAAAGACTTGGAATTAAACCACCTTCCAAAAAAACTTTTAATTCCAAACTGAAAACAGAGAATACTGAAGTGGAAAATAAAAGTAACGTGGAAGACGAAACTCCTGTTCCTAGGGCATCCTATAAGTTTGACTGGGAAAAACTTGATGATCCGAACTTTAATCCTTTTGGAGGAGGTTCTAAAGTTTCCACCTCACCCAAGTGTTCTGAGCCCAGGTCTCAGAAAGTTCCCCAGGAAGAAGAGCAGGATAGTGCCTCACCAAGAAGGGAGCATCTCCCAGTGGAGCAGAATAACAGACCAACTAGCTGTGAAATTCTTGAGAAAAAAGAACCAAAAAGTCCGTAAGTAATTCTGTGTAACTGAATGTAAAGGTACCTTGTGCAAAGGAAGATAGATGGTATCTGTTTTACAACAATTGATGTACTACACCTCCTTGACTTCCTCCCTCAAAGGATGGCTGGCTTGTATTGCACGCTGTAAGCTTTAATACAATATGTTGCAGCAAAGACCTTACCGGAGAAACCATCTCTAGGTGGCTAGCTGTAGGCAAAATGTATTCTTAATCTGGAGGGGTGAGGGGATCAAGCTTACATGGGAAGACTAAATAACTTGGTCTCTCCATAAGTGGCTCTCACCATAATCTGGGACTGAAGTAAAATGAGTAGTGTTGGTTAACTACTGTTACCTCTCAAAAAAAAAAAATAAATCAGTAAGCAGCATTGCGTATCATGCAGCTTGTGAAGGAGCTAGGCAGTTTTGTCCTGGCTGAGCTCTGAGGTGCTGTTTCTTTGCAGCAGAATTCTATTTGCAATAAAAATGCTTGTCACAAAAGTTACACTTTGGCAGCAGATGAAACAAGTTTTTGTACTTGAGAATGAGAGATGTTGTACTGCCTTTCCTAGGAAGCTTAACTATTAAAACGGCAGCATTATATAAATCAGTTGCTTACCTGAAGTGGACTGACGAGATGCTAACTTGACAGAAGTGCTTGCTCTTTTGCTTCCAGTGTACCATGATCAGCTACTGTTTGCCAAAGTGAAAAGTTATGGTTATGCTATTATCAGTGACTGAAGTATTGGACCTCTCTAGTGAAGTTACGTGGCTTAAATCAGTAATCATAGCATTATTTTAGTGGGAAGAATAGTGGGATGCTTGTAATTCTATTCTTAATTAAACAAAAGCTTAACTTAAAAACAAAAACAAAAACCAGCAAATTTCAGGCTTCTCAAATGGAAATTAGGAGAATGTTAAGTGAATAGAAAGAAGTGATACTGCTGTGATTTTTCTGCTTCCCATGTAAGGTTGCTAGTTATGGAAAGAAAGCTTTCTGTCTTTTGAGTTGTCACCAACTCAAGGCAAGACAGAACTTACATCTTTACCTTTCTGGATGCTTCCTGTACTTGGCAATAGAAACTCAAATAAGCTTAGTTTGTTCAACATCTGATTTAAAAATAAAAATTCAAAACAATCTGTGACTGGGACTTTGATTTTTTTTTTTTTTTTCTTCCCCTCCCAAGGGAAATCCACAAACAAAATGTGGTGGAAGATGAGCCACGAAAGCAAGAAGACAAGCCAGAAGTTCAGGGACAAACTAATCTTCCAGAAGAGCTATCCATGGTAAGGCATAGAAAAGATTCTCACCAAGCTGTTCCATGAAACAAATTTCTTTGCCACTTAACCTTGTCAAACCCATGTTTGGTATTTTATTGGAGAATTACTTTTCCATGAATCTTGCGCAGTTCTAGAGTGAGTGTAAACTGTGCAGACTTCTCTTTTGAAGGTAACATCAGAAGACAGACAAATTGGTACCTTGGTATGTGGTATCTTTTTTCATCAGCAGTTGCATATAAGGACAAATGCAAGGGTGTGGATTCTTAGAATGTGATTCCTGTAGTTCAGTGTTGGTACTGTTTACTTTCTGTCTGTGAATTACTGAGGATTATTATGCTGGCTGCCGAGATAATTTGTGGCAAACCAATCTGATCATTATTGTGATCTCCATGTTGCATTTAAATTATTATTTTAACAGTAAAGAGGATTGTTCTTTTCTCTTTAGGAGAAACAAATAAGCCCATCTAAAATGTCTCCAGCAAATGTCCCCTCTCAAGATAATTTAGTTTCTGCTGACAGTGGAAAAAGGTCAATGTCTGCGGAAGAAATTAAACCTACTTCTCACAGAAATGAAATAACAGCAGATCAGCAGACAGCTAGTGCTGAACCTGAAGAGCTCTTCAGACCATCATCAGAAGGTAAGGGCAGTCCTCCAGTATAAACTGGGAAAACATCTGTAGAATCATAAAATGGCCTGGGTTGAAAAGAACCATAATGACCATGTAGTTTCAACTCCCCTGCTACGTGCAGGGTCGCCAACCACCAGACCAGGCTGCTCAGAGCCACATCCAGCCTGACCTTGAATGCCTCCAGGGATGGGGAATTCACAATGCTCTGGGCAATATTACAGTGTATCACTACCCTCTGAGTGGCCATTGTCACAATAACTTTTGTGTACATGTTTCTTTTCAGTTTTGACATTTGATTCTAGCTTTTATTGTCTTCCATTTTACTCTTTCAAGAAGAGTAAATGCAGCAACTATCAGGCTGAGAAACGTACCTCAGTTTACTCATAACTTTCTCTGGATTAAGCTAAATTCAGATGGCTATTAGTGGTCAGCTGCCAGCAAAAATGAGGCTTAGCCTGGTATCGAAACAACATTGTTAGAGCTTCAGTGGCAGTTCTCTTTTTAAGGACAAAGCTTTTTTTCTTAAAAACAAAACAAAAAACTGTCTGTCCTTGAAAATACATTATGGTATTTCTGGTTGTAAGGGCTTTCTAGATTGAGAGCACTAGAGCTATGCAACTGTCTGTCACTGAGTTGTGTAGGTTATTCAAAGGGCTTGCAGTACTGATTAATCATTACAATGTGAATGGTCTTTCTGAATTTACATGTGTGTCTTGAATGATTACCATATAGTTGTTAAATACCTGGAAATAGTATTCCTTGTAGGACTGTTGTGTGGAAGGATGAGCAAATGACTGAGGTACAGTCTGATACTTATATTAACACTGCAGCTGCAGCTTTATTATCCAGCTTAACCTATTACTAATTTTAATGATGTGATTAAGAATCTTACTGTTTTATGGGGTATTTTATAGAACAGTAAAATGCCTGAGCATATTCAAGGCTTTAACTATGGAATAGCAGAAGTCCTTACAGGTATTTGAGGACAAATAGTGGCTATAAATTTAGTTTAGAAAATTGTCAAATATTTTATTTTCCAGTTTGAGTTAGTTTTCTGTCTGTTAAAGTAAAACACCTCGTGAGACTAGACTTATATTTAATGCATGTACAAGCATATCTGTTTCAGTCTGTAGATGTTTCTGTGAAATACAGTGAAGATGCAGTGCTGTCATATAATTTATTTTCCAGTTCTCGGAATGGGCATAGACTATCTGGAGCAATTTGGAACTTCATCTGTAAGTATGGTATTGAAATATTTTGTTTACTTCCCTAGTTGAGGAAGAAGGAAATTGTCAGGCCTTAAATGTTCTCATGAAGTAGCTTGACTTCAAACTTGTTCACAGAAATACAGGTTCTATTTCACAGGAATGTGTCTATAAGGCATGGAGTGGTGGTGAGGAAATGCGGTTATAAGTAATTTTGCCTAAGGATGAGAGGTGCTGTGTTTCCTGTTTGCAGAGGTGCTTTTTTTTTTTTCTTGCAGTGACGAAGGTCAGATGGATGGTATTCCCATCACTGGTCGCTAAAACAAGAAGAGAATGAAAGATCATTGTTTTGAAAAGCTTTAAGCTCCTCTGTTTTATGGGCATTTTCAAGAAATCTGTCTGTAAATTGGGCATGTCATATTTCAATCAGTTCAGCTCTGTGGTTTTTCCCCTGCTTTGAGCCAGAGTAGGTGTGGCTTTGAATATACAATGAATACACTGAGCTGAAAGTGCTTTTTAGTTCTGTGTTTGTCCTGAGACTGCTTGTTCAGCTTACAGTGCCACCTTCATCTTTTAGCATCTTCTGCTAATTTTGAATAGTTAATGTAAACTTGTCCTTTTGGTTTTATCTATGAACAGAGGACTGAGATCACTTGATGTTACGTAAAGACTTAAGAACTCAGTGCCCACAAGCTTAAGTATTTTTCTCCAGCAAACAATGCTCTGGCCACACAGGAGTAGACTCACCCTCCTCTGGAGGACTATTTATGTGTGGGGAGGGTGGGATGGGGGGGGGAAGGGAGAGCTTATCTACACAGCAGCAAATCTGCCACTTTATGCCTTTTCTCCTCAGTTCAAAGAGTCTGCTTTGAGGAAGCAATCATTGTATTTGAAGTTTGATCCTCTGTTGAGAGACAGTCCCAGAAAGCAACCAATTTTTGGTACTACTGAAGCAAATACGAATATCATGACTGCTCCACTTCAGTGTGGGTAGGTATTGATTTAATCTAGCCTGTAGTGCATAGCTTTGCAGGAAAGGCAGTGCTTGAATATAATCGTGTATGTTTGTTCATTTTTAGGCCTCCTTCTGATTTAAACAAACTGCTTGAAGAAACTGAGAATCCTGCATCAAGTCTTCAAAATGAGGAAAAACCAAAAGGGCTAGATCTTCTAGGAACATTTACAACTTCTGTAAGGATGTCTGCAGTGATGCGGAGTTTCACATTGATAATTTGGGGAAGGGATCAGCCAGAATACGGAGTTAAGATTTATGCAGAACTTCTAAGGATCTAACTTCTAAGAGTCTTTAATGCTTATTTAAACTGTCACCTTAAAAAGGTTGGATACCCACTATATAAAGTTGAACTTTTGATGTACTTAATATTCTTTTATAAATTTTTTTTGTTTGAAGCTGGTGGTATTGCACACGGTCTAGGAGAATTTGAGCTGTTCTTAAGAATGCTTTAATCAAGCAATCCTTTGTATGCAGATGAAGCCACAAAAGTAAGACAAGCTTGTGTTTTAATAGCATTGCTGAGATGAAAAGCACTTCTTTGATTAAATTTGATGCCATACAGTGTAAAACTTAAAGCAATGAAACCCCTTGTATGAATTGATCTGTGCAGTTTCTAATCCTGAAAGCTTGTTTACTGGTGTGGAATAGCATGCTGTCTGTCCTGTTTCTGATTGTTAGAACTGGTGGATAGCACTTAATTACATCCTTATTGTGTAGTTCTACAAAATACCAACAAGGTAGGAAAGCTATGGTAGCTAAGTTATAGGAGTATTTTGGGATGAGGGTTCTTAATAAAAATATATGGATTTATTAAATAATTTACAAGCAGCTAATGACTGCATGAAAATCAGAATCACTGAGAACTCAATTTTTATCTCCTTATAGGATGCTGGTCTCATAATTCCAGACACCCTGGCACCTGATGGTTCTCCACTCCCTTTTACTGCTTCCACAAACACTGCAGTGGATGCTATTATAGATGTGCTGAAATACAGCCAAAAAGATATGGATGCAGCTGTTGAACTAGTTAAAAGAGAGGTAAGGTGACCCTTGACCCTGTATTGCCCTGGAAAATCCCTTTTGTTTAAACTACCTTTTGTAGATTTCTACACTTGGCAATTCTATCCATCATACTTGACATCAACATCTCATCCAAAAAAGCTTTCTATTGCTCCTATCAAGCATTAGCTATAGAACTCCTCAGAGCTAGCATTTAAGGACACATGGCAGACTTAATTTTGAAAGGTGTTCTGCTTTAAGACTCGTCAGTATTAAAAAGCACCCACTATCAAATTGATATCAAGTCCCAAATCATTCTGTTATCAAAACTCTTTTTATTAAATTACGTAGGAGAAATCTGTTCTTGCCAGTGGGAAGGAGGGGCTTATTATCATACTATTATTTTCATACTATTATTTCTGTAGAACAAGAAAAATCTTTAATGGTAATTCGGTGTAGTGACTGTTGTGATTGGTTGATTTTGTTTGTGTAATGGGGAAGCATGTCAATACATCTAGCTAATAAAATAAGTGAAAATATCTAATTTACTCTCCACTGATATTATTAGAAGGTGAAGGAGAGGAGTTGGTGGGATTTTAAACTTAAAATCACAGAGTGGCTGAGGTTGGCAGGGATCTCTGAAAGCCACATTGTCCAACCTTGTTACTGAAATAGGACCTCATAGAGCAGGTTGACTTTGACTGTATTCAGATGGCTTTTGAAATCTCCAAAGAGACACTCCACAACTTCTCACAGTACTGTAATGGGTTGCCCAGCCACTTTCCTGGTACAGAAGTCCTTGCTGATGTTTGGAGACGCTTCCTGTGCTCTGGTTTGTGTCCAGTGTCCCCAGTCTTGGCACTGGGCACCACTGACCAGAGCCTGGCTATGTCTTGTTTGAACCCTCCCTTCATATATTTATGGATATTGGTGAGATTCCCCCGGGTCTGCTCTTAAATTGCTGAATAATGTAAGACCAATACTTAAGCATAAATTTCCTTAAAGCTAGTTATCACTTCAAAATTACCTTACAAAAACAGCATTCTGAATTCCTGGCCAACTTACTGTGACAGCTAGTCACACTAAGAACACTAAATAACCTTAATGATGGTGATGATGATGACCTGTGGCCCTTTGCTGCTTTACAGTTTTAATTTTAATTTGTTTACTTTAGAGTAAACAAAACAAAATAAACAACAAAGGCCTAACTTCTCTGTGGGTAACTTTAAATTGCTTTCTGTTTCTCACTTAAGAGAATGCTTTAACCAGCACGTTGTCCAGTACATGAAATGATAAATTTGTGGCTCTGATAAGGATCAGGTCTAAAACAGAGTTTAGATAAGAGCAGAGAGTAAAGCTTGTAGTATTTTAAACTTGGTAGTCTCATCTCTCATTTCTAAGAACTATTTTAAGCATGTAAACTTAGTTGCAGCAAGAGTGGTGTGACTGTTAATCCAACTGTTGTGGTACTTTGGAATGGATAGAATTATATGGCACTGGTGAGGCCACACCTTGAGCACTGTGTTCAGTTTTGGGCCCCTCACTGCAAGGAAGACATGGAGGCCCTGGAGCATGTCTGGAGACAGGCAATGAAGCTGTGAGGGGTCTGGAGCACAAGTCTTACGAGAAGCAGCTGAGGGAGCTGGGATTGTTTAGTCTGGAGAGGAGGAGGCTCAGGGGAGACCTTATTGCTCTCTGTAACTATCTGAAGGGAGGCTGTAGTGAGGAGGGGATCAGCTGCTTCTTTCATGTAGCTAGTGATATTAGCAGAATGTCCTCAAACTGTACCAGGGAGTCAGGCTGGACGTTAGGAAATACTACTTTTCTGAAAGAGTGGTGTCACACTATCAACCCAGTTATTAATAAAAAGCTGGAGTTTGCACAAAATTGTGTGCTCCGCTTTAATTCAATCTGATGTGAAATGTGTGGTTATTTTTAAGGTGAATCGAATTATCTTAAATTTGAGAACGTGTTAAGGGGAGGATTGAGTGTATTCCAAACATCAAGTTGATTTTGACCAACACAGCTTTTCAGTATTTACTTTCTTTCCTGTGTTTGTGACTTATTCTATCTGCCTTGTAGATAAAAGGGAATATTTGTTACTGGAGAGAGTATTACTAGACAGGCTATTACTTACTTGCCAGGGAACAGTGACCTCCATGTAGTATGAGTGAGAGTAGCCAAGTAGAATAAACTGAGCTGGCTCTCATCTTGACTTTTGTGAGATTGATAACATTGAATGGCAAACAAGAATTTTGATATCTAGTTTTTGGGTTCATCATCATCTTACTTGACATGTTTGTAATAAGACATTTCATTTTGAATCTGTTAGTTGGAACTTGGAATTTAACATGGGAAATTTAGATATAACTAGGCTACCTTTTAGGTTCTTCTGAGTAACAACCCTTGTATCACTTCCTGTTCAAGAAATAAATGTTTACTACTTTTCACCTTAAAGGTTCAAGAGAAAGAGTTGGAGACTCTTGAATGGAAAAAGAAGTACAACAAGCTTCATGTGGAATATAAGGAAATGGGGTGAGCATTTGACTTTGCCCGCTTATTCACTCCAGCTGCTTTTTCTACCTTATGGTCTAACTTTTTTCTTTTCCATTCTTTTTTAGGAAAGTAGTTGCAGAATTTGAAGGTACAATAACCCAAATGATGGGTAAGTTCAGTATTTATACTTGAAATCATTCTGGGGCCTCTGCTTAGCCTGAAGTTAGTGCTCTTTCACTTCTGATGTAATTAACTTTTCAAGTTTCGCACTGTCAGGGTGAGTGTAAGGCTTCAGACGAGGTACTTACATGCATAGAACTGTAACTCTAATCATCCAGGCATTGCTATATACTGATATTATTTGGTGGTTAATGCTGACGTTGTGAAGTCAGGCATGAACACATCTAACCTTTTCTGCTTCTGAACATAGTGAACTATGAACTACTAGTTTATTAAAACTGGCTGATCCAGTTATCTGTAGCTTGGTTGGTGGTTTGTTATCTGGCCTTAAATTAGTGATGGGATGTCAGTAGGAGTTCTTGCTGGACAGACCTGGCCTTTGCTTCAGTCAAATTTGTGGTTTCAAAGTTAAGACGACATTAAATGAAGCATGTATAGGTACATTGTTCTGGCTGGAAGCTGAATTAACCAGATCTGGTCCTTGCTTAATTTTTTTTTTAATGAGGCAACTAGCATGTTAGGTTATATTAGCCTATAGAATACATAGTTTGGGTATGCTAGCAAAAGCTTGTCTTAGAAGGATTTGCCATATCAAGTAGGCTTGTTATCTCAATCTTTTCCAGGTCTTCCAGCTATTGCATATTTAATGAAAACAAATGTTTTTAGATTTTGTTGCTACCGTGAGGTTTGACTCTCATGTACAGGGTTTGGACTGTGTTGGAGGAAAATCCACGTTTGGTTAAGCAATTTATGATCACAACGTTCAGTGTTGTGAAGTAGCAAATTAAGAGAGTATTACTGTTTTCCTAAAAGCAAGGATACAATTTTTTTTTTTTTGAGGGGTTACATGATGAGGCTCTTAGTCTAAAGGGCCAAGTTGAAGGTGTGAGGATCATGTCCATGTTACTAGCTTTATACTAATTTAGCAACTATTATGAGTTTAAACCCGTTACCTCTGCTTTCTTTAGAGGATTCTCAGAAACAGAAGGAGTTTTCAAAGAAAGAAATACAGAGGATGGTAGAAGAAAAGCAGCAAGTTATTTCAGATCTGAACTCTATGGAGACGTCTTTCTCAGAACTCTTCAAGCGTTTTGAAAAACAGAAAGAAGTGCTGGAGGGTTACCGCAAAGTAAGATGCTGTAGAGCAAATAATATTCTTTTAAGATAAATAAGCCTTGTGATCTTCTGCAGGTGGAAAGAAAGTTACTAATTTCTACTGCAGCCATTAATTAAATAGCCGAGGCACTACCTGTAAAACAAGTTGTCTGCTTTAAAGATTAAAAAAACAACCTGTTGTATTTAGTGGCTGGCTTAAAGTATGATGATCTTTCTGTTAGAAGCCAAGATTTCTTCAAACAAAATGAGCCTTTTCCTTTTGTATGCATATCATTTTTCTGTTAATCATGGAGAATAAATCCAGCGTAACTACTTGTTGCATAAGGGCAGCTTGTTTTCCCATACATAGCATTGAATAGATGCTGAAGAAGTCAAACTGATAATAGACTGATAAACTTTACTGGGATGTTTAGCTTAAACTGGTAGACATATCCACGGACTGGAATAATGGAGTTAATAAGGATCACGAGCTATGGTTTCTTGTATGAAATGCATAAGCTTATTCAACATAAACCTATGCATGACTTCCTTTACCTTGCATCCCTTCTATTGCTATATTTGGTATTCAGAAGCCACTTCCTTAGCATAGAACTAAGGCATCTCTTGGAGACAGTGAATTGCTAAGTTCAAGAGCTGGAATTAGTAGGGAGACTTGCACTTGTTTCTGTGCTTTTATGGAACTTCATAATTGTACTTAGTACTCTGAGCAAATGCTGTCATTTTGATATAGTTAAATTGCCTCCATTTCACAAATCAGCTGACTTTTCCACCTACTAGTACATAAAAGCTAACTAAACTTGTTTCTGGGTCAGAATGAAGAGGCTTTGAAAAAATGTGCTGAAGAATATCTGGCTAGAATTAAGAAAGAGGAACAGAGATACCAGGCACTAAAGGCACATGCTGAAGAAAAGCTGCATCAGTAAGTACTATGTCAAGAAACTAATTGCTGCAAAATGTGGCTCATTAATGCCAAATCTTGGCTTAAAATACTTGTTTACTGTACTTGAACATTAATAAAAAAAATAGTGTGATTCTGTGAACAGTTCTGCTGTGCTGTCTGAAAGGAATATAAACGCCTGTATTTCTTCAATTCCAGAGCAAATGAGGAAATTGCCCAGGTACGAAACAAAGCTAAAGCAGAAATTGCAGCCCTACAAGCCAGTCTCCGCAAAGAACAAATGAGAATCCAGTCTTTAGAGAGAAGCCTTGAACAAAAGGTTTGTCAAAGTGCCATGAGTCTTTTAAGCTATTGCCTTCGACTACCTCAAGAGATCTTGTACCAGTACTAGGAGTTGTCCCACTAAGTGTGCTGGTTTTGGTGACTCTCTAGGTAGGCTTTGGGAAATAAGCATTGAAGCTTAAGGCAGAAATCAGTTATGTCAAGACTCACCCTGTATATACAGATCATTTTTGGAACAGAAAGGCTTGTTCCTGTAGATGAGATCACAGAATTGATTGCTCCAGGTTGCTGCATCAGGAGGTTATCTGAACTACTGATGGAGATGGTGTTCTAAAACTTAAACATCTCCAAGAGCTGTGAACGTTCTTGAATAACTGTCTGAACATCTGTAGGCATTTAATTTATAAGCTGTTAGTACTAGTACCAACTCTCTCGTATTGTCTAGATTTTTTTCAATATTGTTTGGGCCCTAAATCCATGTATTGGATTGCAGTCTTCATACAGCACAGATGAAGTCTTAAAATGCTTTGTAAAGGCATATCAATTTCATTTGCTGGAATAAGTAAGTGGAAATATTCTACAGAGGTGTCTGTGTTGTGAGGATTGAAATCTAAATTGTTGCTATCATCTCAAATGTCAGTATACAAAAGAAAAGGAATGTCTGAAAAATCTCATGTACCTATAGTCTTTATAGACAACTTCTTCTAAGGAAATCTAGAAGCAGAGACAGTACAGTGAAATCAGCTCACTTCTTGAGAATTTTTATAAAGTAGACCATCCTTTAGATTAAACCTGTATTGGTTGCTAGCATGTAAGTGAACTTTCTGTTGGGAAAGATCACGACTTGCCTGTAAAATAGCTTACATGAACCTGCAACTCTTCTTTTTCTGTCTTTAACAGACAAAAGAAAATGATGAGCTAACGAAGATCTGTGATGACTTGATTTTGAAGATGGGAAAAAATGGATAGCTCATTTATCTCTGTAAATATGTCTAGTTTCTCTGATTTCCTGTCCTGTGTTCACTCATGATTTTAATTATGTATGTGGAGGAAAAAAATAAAATGCTCGATTTACACTCCTCTTGTGTATCTCTTGCAGGAAATGTCACCTTACTGACAAGTTCACTTGCTGCTTTTGGTATCAATATCTTGTGTAGCATTTTGACATTGTCACTCTAAGGAAAAACTTTTCCTTAGAGTCTCTTCCTTGGTGAGAGCACATCATTTCTGTGTTATGACCTGGCTCTACTGATAAAGGTCAGCAAAGGCTCTGTCTGTATCTTGCACTGTGTTCTAATTTCAGTCAAAACATTCCAAAGATACAGGACTGTAATAGAACTTGACCTGTTAGCAGACGCTACAAAGAACTGAAAGTTTATGCAAGAATTCTGTTCTGTCAGTTGTGATTTATATTCCCTCATTCTAAGAGACATTGCTTTTTTGTGAGAAGCCTCATCAGACTTTTTCAGTGTTTGCAGCAAGCCAGGCTAATCTTGATAGTGGATAATGAGCAGAATGTATAGAACTGCTCTCTACTTTGTGCACTTGCAACCTGAACTTTGGGATGGGTGATTCATTTAGTGTTGTAAAAGCTAAAGTTTTAAGTTTTTATTTTATTTTATATTTGTCTGTGTGTACATGCCTGTACCTATAACTGAGCTGAAGTGTGAGCCTGTTTTCAGACAAGCTAAGCAGCCAAGGAACTGGATAACAATACAGACTTGCTTTCCACTCTATTGGAAAATATCATAGCAAGTCATCAGTCTGATGCTATTGACTTGCTAATCACCCATCCAGAGCTCATACTTGCTTCATGGAACAGCTTGTAGAATTGCAGTAGGCTGCAGGTTATTGGTCATGATGAAGTTAGCTTTAATTAGGACATTAGCAGATGCTTCAGATAAGCTGTTATTACCTGACAACCACAGGCTACAGCTTTGTTGTAGTATTACTGAGAGGCCATTCTATTACTTGCTTAACTAGGGGTTGCATACTTTTTCTCTCAGAAGGGTTTTTGCTGCTGGGTATGTTCTTAAATATATAATGAAAGGGCTCCAAGTATGTTAAGGGTAGTCTGCCAGGGTAGGAGGAAGAACTGAACAGCAGTACTTAAGAGATCTGGAATCCACTCTTCAACTAGGTACCTACTGATGAGTATTTGTATATGTGTACTGGAAGCAGTATGTGGCTGGAATACCCTTACAGAGTGGAGCAGGCCTACAGTTAGTTAATACACTTCAAGTTCATGGTATTTTTCTTTGTGGTTTCCACACTAATCTGAGAATGTCAATGTGAAATCAATAGCAACAATATTGAACACTGATCCCCTGCAGAAACTGCCTTGCTATATGTTCTTTTCCTGTTGCTTAGGAAGTGTTAGATGAAAGTGGAAAAGAAATAAGTCTCTGACCATGAAAACAAAGCTTCGGCCAGATAACAGGGATAACTCCAGGCTGTGTCTTGTGTTATTCCTTTGTAATAGACTTAAAGAAAACTGAGATTTGATGCTTGGTTGAATTTATGAACTGTCTTGCTAATCTGTTTTTAATTATGGAAGCAAATTTCTGTTGATGTTCTTAGTGAATATTGAGGCTGTTGGTTGATGCTTGTCTGCAGTTAGATAAGATAAAGCATGCAGCCTCCAAGGGTAGATCTGTTCTTTCCTTTCTGGTGTTGGATCATCACTGTGGTCAAGTGACTCAGGCAGATTATTTGGTTTAGGGGAAAGGGTGTTAGAAGAAACTGTTTTGCAGGTGGTTATTGTGCAGTACAGGTTCACTTTGTGCATCTTGCACAAAAAAAAGGCCTAGAAAAGGGTAGATTAATGTGAAGCTGAGTTTGCTTTGTTAACTTCATATAGGAGTAAACCTGCAGTGTTAAATCTTTCCACAAGATGTAGCTGCTGTTCTTTGAAATATTGGCTGTAATTGATAGGGCTGTACATCAGCACACTGCAAATGTCCATCTCTACTGGTTAATGAGACTATTGTTCTGGTAGATTCCCATTGGGCAGGATAAAGAGCAACAAAGTGATATATACCAACAGACTGTATAAGTAGTGACAGTGCTGTCTGGAGCTTTAGTGCAACAGCTATCAAAGTAGTATGATACCACTGATTAACACAATTGAGTTCTTTAAAGAGAATTGGAAGATGGAGTTAGAGCATGAGAGCTAAACTAGTAACACTATGGATGTGGGGTAGGGGGACTGTATTTTCTGCATACCTTTAGGCAAGTGCTACTTATGAGAGTACTGGAATCTTCCTTATCTTCCTTTATTCCTTCAGAATAAAACAATCAAAAGTATCCCTCTGGCTTCATTCCAACTCTATAGAGACCTTCTGACTGCATATACAGAATGTCTCTGGTCCAGTATTTCCTTAAGAAAAGGGAGGAGAGCTTTTCAACTTGTTTGTTCTGTTACTTGAATATAGTGGCATTGCATATTCCACATTCCCTAGTCTGATTGAGGTGGATGCATATTAGTCTAGCAGCAGCCAGCGTACCAGATACGGTTTTCATTTGGTCTGTTATGATGTTATCAAGAATCACACCCTGTGTGGTTGGTTGTATATTGATATTAAGTAATGGAAACTGCACTTCAATGAGATATTGAATGATAGCACATGCTTCTGTAATTTATGACCACTGTTGTGAAATCTGCCCGAGGCTCTTCCATTTGCTAGTTGTTGATATGAAGAAGATGACTGTTTGTGACAACCACCACTTGAATGGAGATGGCTATGAATAACAGCATGCTGAAGAGGATGAGGGGGCAGTTTTTGAATGAATTACCAGAGCTTAGTATCAAGGTATTATTTTATAGTTCTCCAGGCTGGAAGTTTTTATGTTTGTCAAAAGTTGTGGCTGACTTTTTGCTCCTTTGACCTCAGCATTTTAAACAGGTTGGAAGGGTTGGCTTATTGTTCTCTGTGGATGCAACATATACCTCCAACTTAACATTTACACAATTATTTTTTTAATCCATTTTATAATTCCTAGTTGAAGAGTGCTTCTTAAATATCACCTTCCCCATTTCAAAGCATCCTTCTTTTTTAAATCATTCCTCTAATATTGAACAGTCCTCATAAAAAGAAGTCAATATACAATACAGTAATGCAAGCTGCTGTATGTAATGTACACGTGTTTTAGTGGGATAAGGTCAGCATATGCTTATTCTGAGATATGCATTGAGCTTTCTGGCTTATTACTTATTTCATCTGACATGAATTAGCCTCTCTCTGCAAGCAGATAATAGGGAAATAGGATACTGCCTGGTGCCCCTGTGCTCACTTGGTTTTCTTTATTTATACTAACAATTGCTAGGTGCTATAGAAACAGAAGGTGACAGTTCTTATTCCAGACAGCCTTTTTCTTATACAATATACATGAAATATTTTATTTCAGAGCTGATCAGAATTGAATCAAATGTGCTGATCAACTTTGTTTCTAATGCCTCAGTTTATACCTTCAAAGCAGATGTAACTTTTTTTTTTGCTTCCCATTGTAAACAAACAAACACAAACCACCATTGCCAAAGCAATAAACAAACAACCTTAAATGGCACAGAAGAAAACTGAAAAAACTGTTCCAAAGAATGGAACATCTATTTTTCTTTAGACTGGAGGAAGGATTTACTACCTGAACCAGTAAGGGTTTAAAAGCAGAAAAAGAAAACAAATTTTGTTTTTTTCCCATTAGAAATCAGATGTACAAAGCAGTTAGCTTCAGCATGCTATCTTGGGCTCTCAGCCTTGTCAGAAGTTGCTAGATCATGACACACAAGTGATCTTAATATGCTTTCAAGTGATCTGTGTGTTTTGGACTTGACAAATGGCTCAGTCACAGCATCTATTTTCTTCTCTTTTCCAGTGCGCCTAGTGCAGACAAATGAAATACTGCACAGGAGTGATGGGGAAGGAAGTTCCTTGCAAATTTCATCCTACTTCTGGTTATACAAATGCCAGCAAAATGTACTGCCATTTACATCAGATATTTATCCTCCAGTGCTTACTGACAGGTTTTGCTGATGATGTCTTGCTCATTGAATGCCTCTCTAGCCATCTGTGGGCTTGGAATATCGTTCTGTATGACCCCAGTTTATCTGTCTGCTGGGAGAGTTTCCTAATGGAGAAATCCTGCTAGGGCTATGTAATTTTATCAGTCTCCATGGAGTCCCTCCTGACTCTTGATATGCAAGAGAGGAGAGCAAGGCTGAGTCCAACTTGGTGCTGGTGTCACCTGCAGACCACTGCTGGAGCTGAAGATCAGGACTCAGAATCCTAGAAGCAGCTGTGACAGTTTAATAGGGTTAATGTGTGTTATGGGTTATAACAGAATACTAACTATGCTTGCATGTGTCCTGTGGCTCATTAGGCTTGAGGAAAGAGCTGTTTGTGACATAGATTTGCTGAATCTTCCTCCCTGTATCTCACTTAGTCCTGCAGTGCACATCTGGGAGAAAGATCTTCAGATTCTTCTAATGCTCCTGTATTGCCCTAGTCCCAAATGTAGTGGTTAGTGCTCCTATACAAAGTCAGGAGCTTTGCAAAGGAAATCTGGTAGGATGGAATGGAGCTACTTAACCAACAATTTGAAGTTAGGAATTAGACTCTATCCTTATGGCTCCCTTACAATTCAGGGAATTCCATGATTCTTAAGTTTTACTTCAATCTACATTTTAAGCTTGCTGAGCAGTATTGCATCCTGAAGCTAGCTTTGCTTTTTGCTTATTCTTTGTTTCGCTGTTTTAGACAACAATTTTATTTTTCATTTAATTTGTTCCCCAAAGAAACAGTTTTTCTGTTGCTGTACTTTTCTTATTTTTCCAAAATCAAGAGCCTACATCCCTCTCTCCCAACTCAAGTAAATGTTATGCTTTTCAAATTCAGTCAACGCCCTTCCTTTTATAGGTGTTCTCCAAGCTGCTCCCCTGTTATCCTATCACATACAGCTAGAACAAAGCTACCAGAAAACTACCCTGTGTCTTCAGGAACTAAACCATTTATATTAAATTGTGACTGGGCTGTGCATTCTGAGGTGTGGGAGGATGTCAGCTGGACAAAAGCAGTGAGGGAAT